TTTTAAGCAGAAAGACTTATGACTTGTAAGTAAGTCTCTACAGGTCCCACTCCAGAGCTGGGCAGACGAGGGCAGAGCCCAGGGAAGGGGGCAGAGAGGACACACTGGGAGAGAAAAGCCGCCCGCGGGGAAAAGGAAGCAGGCATGGGCGCTTTGGACCCAAGGCTCGCCCAAATTCTGAACTAACTTTTGTTGTTTTGGAAAAATATCAGAAATCAAAGTTGCAAAGATTTTTAAAATTCTAAGTTTAGAAAACTGCCGTTGTACAATATTGATGGGGTAGGTAAACACAGGGAATGAATGTCACCCACCAAGCGGTAGAGAAATTGTTAACAGGAACCAAAAAGGTAGAAAAAAGGCAGAAGAGAGTGAGAGAGAAGCACAGGGCCACAGAGGTGGCTCACGGCAGGGTCCTCTGGAATGCAGGCGTAAGAAGGGAACCAGCCGGTCTATTGGAGCGCCTGCGCTCTGCATCCAAGAAAGAGGTGGGGCACCCACGGGCCGCACCCACCGCCTGCCCTGGTGGGGGCAGGAAAGAGGCAGAGCCGGCCGACTCCACCCCTGTTTTCTCTGAGCTCCAATCATCCTGGCCCAGTGGTTCCCAAACTTATTTGGCCTACCGTCCCCTTTCCAGAAAAAAATATTACTCAGCGCCCCCTGGAAATTATTTTTTTTTCAATTTTAATAGCAATTAAACAGAAAGATATATGTATTAATGTTTCTACCTTTTTCATAAAATATAGTAACGAAAGGTGTAAATTAGAAACATTGAAGTTTGAAATTATGAAACTACTTATTGAACTCAGAATAGAAAGGTAATACAAAAAAAGTTAAAACAAATGCACCTGTGGCCATCACCGCCTCCCTGGATCGCTGCAGCGCCCACCAGGGGACGGTAGCGCCCACTTTGGGAATCACTGTCCTAGACAATTAGTCAGATTTCACAGCGACCCCACTGTGGTCAGAGCGTCCCCCAGAGCCAGGCATGAGTCCAGGCAAAGCAAACCTTTCCCCTCACACTTACAAGTTCCTACTACTGAGTCCAGGTGCCTTGTTGGTATGTAATGTAGTTTGTACAATACTGATCATTGGTGGTTAATTTGTTTATGTTTATTAAGGAGATAAATTAAAATTAGCCAATTGCATTCCTGGGCAGCAGAGTGGCTCCACTTACTGAGAAATCTGTTACTTCCCAGGCACAGCCCCACCCCCAGCTCCCGACACCGAAGCTACTGTTATAAACTATTTTCTATTACATTCGATAGGTTTAAGTAAAACTACATGGGGTGCTTTCATCAAAAGGAGTGGAAATCATTCTTCAAAGCAGAGCCCATTCGAAGTTGAGACAGATGATGTTTTTCAAATTGAGCTGCAATTCAACAACGGCAACTTTATGCCTTTGAAATGATGGACATAAGGAGCAATTCTCTACTTTAAACTCTTCTGCTTTCATTTAGGTTCTTAAGACTAGGAACACTCCAGGGGTCCCTGATTCTTGCAGCTTTTATTTTACCAATGACTGCGTTATAAGTAAAAAATCTGTTTTTTATGAAAAATTTATGATTTTATAATGGAAAAGTTTTCTCATTTTCATATTGGAGAAAGTCTTTCTTCCTTTGAGCGATTAGTGTACATTAATGCATAATTTATCATGTATATTATATGACATATCTGAGTTGACAGACAGCCGTATTTCAAGCAAACATAGGTTGCATTTAGTTTTTATTATTTACAATAAATTTCCTGAAGACTGAAGAATCAATTTAAACACTCAGGGTTTTTTTCTGAAATTTCTGGGGAATGGCCAAGTTCAAATCATAATAAATTTGAACAGAAAATGACAGAGAAGGATAGTCCCTGATATCAAGTTCTGTGCCCCAGACCTTTTTAAAATTTTTTATTGATTGATTTTAGAGAGAGGAACGGAGAGAAAAACATCAATTTGTTGTTTCATGTTGTTCCACTTAGTTATGCATTCATTGGTCAATTGATTCTTGTATGTGACCTAACTGGATATTGAACCCACAACCTTGGCATATAAAGACAACGGTCTAACCAACTGAGCTACGTGGCCAGGACTGTGCCCCAGACCCTGAGCATAGCTCTCTGCTGGGACACAGACACCCCAACCCCCCCTCCCCCACCGTGAAAGCTCACAGGCAGGTGTGGCTCCCACAGCGCCAGCTTCAACATCTTCTGGCTCAGGTTTCTGTGGGTCCCTGACAGCATTTCCAAACGTTCTCATCAAAATGGGAAGATAAGGGTGGCGCAGTGGATTTTTCATGATCATAAACATATTTCGTTTAAAGGAGTGTTTGGTCAATATGAGGTTGTCCTTTTCTTAAGCCCTTTTCTTTCTAACTATAGTTGATCTTAGGATGCTTGTTATAATTGTTGTTTTTTAACATCCTTACTTGACAAAATGGAAAGTTGTCAATCTTCTATTAGTCTTACCTTTTATCTTTAAAACCATAGTAAACAGCAAAAACCCAGCATGAGAGCCATCTGAGTGAAACTGGCAGTGGGAACGAACATCAGTGCATTTCCTTCCTCTGGCGTCAGGGCTCAGAGGGGCCCGCACAGCTCACTGCCTCAGTTTCCTTTTTAAAAAGTCAAGTACAAGCGTTCTGTAAGTTGGGAGACTTCTCTAGCATCTAAGACATTTTAGGGGGAAAGTGTGATATTCTGGTTCCAACCAATCACCAAAGAACTGGATTAAAAATATCACTGATGGCTAAAATATGTCACGACATAGTCCTAAAAGTATCATTAGTCACACACCTGTCAGGATTGAATCCTCCCTCAATCTGAGTCCATCTAAGAGTTACTCAACTATTTGCCAAACTGAATTTAGTGTCAGCTATTTTACAGACTATTTCTAGATCCCACCACCTCTGCACCACATCGGTGAGAAGCCACGTCAGAGGCTCCCATCCTGGAGAATCACTGTGTGATCCAGTCCTCGGTGTGCGGGGAGCTGGAGGCGGTCAGAGCGGGTGGGACTCCAAAGCATCCTGGGATTTGACAGCATCTGGGGAAAACACAGGGTGTCCATGAGGTGCGTGCAGAGTCCTGGCCTTTGACTTCCTGGCCTTTCTGTCCCTTTTCCCCTTCCAGTGAAATCGGATGAGTTACAGACAATCAAGAAAGAATTAACGCAGATCAAAACTAAAATCGACTCCTTGCTGGGGCGCCTGGAGAAGATTGAGAAGCAGCAGAAGGCAGAGGCGGGTAAGTGAACAGACTTGTGGGAATGAAATCAGAGACACTGTCAGTCACCTAGACAGGCAGGGCCAGGGGCCTGGGCAGGGCGGGGCCAAGGACGGGGCCAGGGCCAGGCGCAGGCTTCATAGAGTTTAGGGCAGATTCACTGTGAAGTCTGTAAGCTAGAATTACAACAGGGAGATCTGGTCTTTTACTTTTCAGAGAACATGAGCCAATTTGTCTAAAATTCATATATTCACAAAAGGGAAAAATGAAAAGTATGTTGATGCTAAGTAGTGGTGTGATTGTCCTTGGAAGTTTATAGGTCAATATCAAGTAACCTTTAAGAAAATAAAGTCAATTCATGGGCCAATGCTATCAGACTAAAAGTACAATTCATACGTCATTAAATTAACTGCAGCAGCATTGACTGGATTTCAAGGTCGTGATCACAAAGCCCAACTCCTGCCTCGGTGTGACTCTGTGAGATTTCAGGACCCAGTTCAGAACTCACCACCCCAGTGTCTCTGCCACCAGCCAAGTCGTTGATTACAGTTTCACTATGTCATGTCTCTGGGCCCTGAATTGTCAGCCCTGACCTTGGCTCCCAGTCCCTTTTCATGCAATACTAGTGCCCTTTTTCTGTGGCCACGCTGTCGCTTAGAATCACAGAATGTGAGAACTGGGGTGAGCCTGGAGGTGACTGGTGCCCAGGCTGACACTGTGTTGTGCAGCCTCAGATCCCCCGAGGCCCCTTGAGACAAGATAAGGTGGTAAAAGAGGGTAACTAGCCCTCCTCCAGCCCAGCCTCTGCTCCCAGGCAGAAGGGTCGCCTCCATCTGTTTTATCCATTGGGCCTCAATCTATGACTTCATTTGCAAAAAGTTTCATTTGAAAAAATAATAATACAGTTTTGAAAGCCATTGCTCCCATCCAGCCCCTCACCTCCACGAGGAGAAAGCAGAGGGTCGAGGCAGACAGACTTTTCCATGGCCACGTAACCAGTTAGTGGCAGCCCAGGTCTCAAGCCCAGGTCTGTGGGTGAGTCCACTGTCTTTTTGTTACCAGGAAACCCCTGGGCTCAGGCTGCCTGTCACTGTGTCCAGTAACGAAGGCTGGGTTGAATTACATAAGGCAACCAAGAAGACAGGGCCCTTACAAGCATCAAATCCTGCCTCCCAGCAGGTGCAGGGGGCAGGGTTATAAAGGAGAAGGGGCTGGGGTGAGGCGTGCAGTCCTGGGGGTCCACAGATGTCTGCTATTGTCCTTGTCATCAGGTGATAAGATGATGTTGGCAAGATGATGTTTTGACTCCTGGTGGGTCGGCCTGACCATGCTTATCAGGGCTGAGTCACCTCCTCCATTGCTTCGCACAGGCCTTGCAAAGTAAACTTAAGAAAAACTTAACCCTATTCACATGAGTACATGTGTTCTAAGATTTAAAATAACATGATTCTCTTTCAGATGAATCCAGGTGCTCTATCAGATTATAAGCCCCCCTATCACTTTCCCATCTGTAGTGTCAATCTCAGGTGCCACCAGGGCCTCATCCCAGGGTGTCACTCCTGCGGCTGCCTGGGAAGCTCCTCCCTGGGGAGAACCTGCAGGGATGTGGGCCCTGGGCTCCGACACAGCGTCTGGCCTGATGTGACCGTGTCGCTGGGTAAGGACCAAGCAGCCCGGCTCAGGAGGCACGTGGGGCCTCCGGGAGACAGGAATGAGCGCGGGTGCAATCCGCCCAGCCCCTACCTCTGCCTGAGCCTGTTCCTCACCCACAGTGAGGACAGCGGTGCCTCCCACTGTGAGGAATGACAGGCTGCCTATGGAAGTTGGTCCGCAGTCCCTGGCGACGGGTAAAGGCTCTGATCAGAGCGACCTCGGGCTGGTGGGAGCAGACATATCCGACAAGGAGTGTTTCCCCCAGGTTCCTGCAGCCCGTCTTCTCACCACGTGCAGCGGCTCCTGACCACGTCTTAGTTCATATGGATGAGAAATGAGAGAGGAAGCAGACTCATGTTTATTAAAAATTTCTATTTCAAATGTATTTTCTGCTGAGCAGAGATTCGCTGCCTGACCTGCTCACTGGAGAAATGTAGGCTGGAGGGAGTTTGTCACATGCCGTCTGGGGCAGAAATCGAAAGCATTTCCAGACAAAAATATCCCAGGACATCCCTGAATCAGTGTTTTCCTTCAAGGAACGTCTGTGAAATTCGTTATTATGTAAAACAACCCCTGCAGCGAAGGACTTTGACAACCAATTTCCACTTCAGCTGAAAGGGTTGTGGAGAGCTCATTTAAATCCAGACCACCTCCAAGAGGAAACTGTGCTGCTTCAGCCCATCCTGCCAGGCTGGCAGTGCCCTGCAGGTGTCTGCGAGCGGACACCAGGCCCAAAGCGCGCCTCCTTTCATCAGCGGCCGGCGCGTGTCCAAGCTTCCCGTCAGAGACGTTGCTTCTTAAGCGATGGGCTTGGTCCTTTGATGGGCATGCCCCCTTCCTTTCCCATGTTGGGAAGAAAGTGAAATTATTTCATTGCTAATTTTTTTCTTTTGCCATTTGTCTCCTGAACCTCATTCATTTTTATAGAGATAAGATGATCATTTTCTATATATTTTTTATGAAAAAAAACAACAGGGTTGTATGAAAAGAGTCAACCCTACATTATAGAAAGTAGAGAGAAATACAGTAAAATTCTTTAAAAGACTCACTATCTCCTTATTAATATTCAGGGGCACTCATTTTAATATTTATTTGGTTGCAAACTAATTATTTGGTAGCTAACATTGACTTTTATTGTTGCTGTTTTATTCGTCTCTCATTCTCAGTTTACATCGTTAGATGATGACAGTTCTCAGGGCAAAGGCAGAGGCAGGAAGGAGATGGGGGTGGGGGGAGAACGCGCCTCCTCCTCTCCTCCCCCACCCCACTCCCGCGTGGCTGGGTTCAGGCTGCACAGGCCTTCTTCTGGGTTGTTGGGAGTGAATCCCTAAGCGTCAGGAGTCCGTGTGCTGAAGTATAATTACAACATTTTGGATTCTCTGCACCTCAAACAGCGTCCAGCAGAGACTCGCGTGGTACACGGGCTCTTTCTTTGAGCTTGGAAACCTCCCTCCAAGAACAAGGCCGGGCTTCTCCTCCTCTCTGCCCGCCCCCCCCCGCCATCAGCCTCGTCCCAGCAGGAGCACGTCTGACTGCTCTCAGGGTCTCCAGCCCTTCCCCCTTCCCGTGTCAGCTAGATGGAGGGATCCTGGCCTCAAAAGTAGTCCCAACTTTTAAATTATCATTGTTATGAATCCACCACGCTTGTGGTATTTTTTCCATTGAATAATTCAGGTAACAATTTTGGGATATACTGACTATTTATCGAAAACAATAAATAACCCTTAACGTCAGTTTAGCCTAAAAATGTGCTTTATTCCACACATAAATTGCCACATATGAATAGCACAAGTGTTATGTAGTTTACATGGTGATGTTGAACGACCCGAAAGGGTGTACAGAAAGAACAGGAAAAACAATGGGCACAATTACTCCATGGGTGGCCACACTTTAAAAAAAAAAAAATCACATGCCAGACATCCAGTCTTTGCTATGAAAGGGCAATTAGACATTATCTAGTTCCACTTTATTCCTGGGGGAATGGCTAATACATGGTCAGCCGGTCTCTCTCAGCCACTCCCAGTGGGCATAGGTCATGTTTATGATAATGCTAGACTGAAGCATGAGAGTGGTCACAGGCCAGAGTCCCATTTGGGGTATATCCATCTTCCCATGTGCGTGGTAAAGGATAGAGGTTTTTTTTATGAACATCAATGTCCAAAAATGGAAGATTATAAATAAATGTCAAAATACATGACTTCTTTGGAAACATGAGACTTCAGTCCTGCTGCAGCTGCGCATGGGTGCGCTGCTCAGCCAGCTAGTGTATGGGTGCCCCCGGGCATGCACTGATGTTAGTCACGTGGTCCCTGTTCATACTGGGGTCTCAGGCACCTATGGAAGGGTCCGCTCTTCTGAACCAAATGTCTGCTGCTTTCACTCATTTCAGTTCCCCTTTTATGTCCCCTGAAACCGAGCTTAATGTCCAATCCCTTGTGAAGGTAACAGCCAATGAAATATTTAAAAGAGCTAAAATACCCCGCCTTCTTAAACCTTTGAACAGAATCCTATCTAATAATAGACAAACATGGTAATTGACCATACCTTTGCTACACCTCCCATTGGCTAATCAGTGAGATATGCAAATTAAACTGCCAACAGAGATGGCAGCTAATTTGCATACTGCAGGCAGGGTGGGATAGCACCATCCCGCCTGCCCCACTGCCACCTGGGCCTGCTATTTGCCACCTGGGGTGCTGGGGCGGGACAGTGCCATCCCCCCTGCCCTGCTGCCATCCAGGCCTGCTATCTGAGACCTGGGGCAGTGGGCATCCCATGTGCAACCCGACCCTGGGTGGCTGGGTGGGGCAGTGAAGGCTTGAAGGCGGCTCCAACCAGAGTGAAGGCCTGAGTCCCTCATCTTGAACCATTGCCATCTCTCTTCTCTGGTCACAGACTGTGGCTCTCAGAGGGAGGGCGCTGCTTCAGTGTGACTGGGTTGCCACCTATAGTGTGACCTCATTTCTGTTCTGATACCTTCCTGTCATTGATAGTTTGGATCAAATTGCTGATGCTTCTTGTTACAAATGAGCAAACACAAGAACCAAGCCCTGCTCCCTCCTGGAACTGTATCAAATGTGTGATGGGATCTTTAAACTGAAAACCCCTCATCTTAAGGAGAATGGGGACCCAGCTGTGGAGGCTGGGCCGATGGACAAGTGGACCAAACTCAGCACACCCACACAACCTGGGTCCGGTTTTAATCACCCAACTCCCCCAAATCTCAGCATGAAGGCAACCATCTTCCTCTAGTAAACATGGCAGAATGCCCGTTGGGGAGCCAGAAACCCGTGTTATCCTCCCGACTGCTGCTGGCCCAGTAGGAGACTGAAGAAGTGTCTTCTAACAGAGCTAACACGGCAGATCTC